AGGCGTTGACCGGAGTTTACCGGGGGTTGACCGGAAGTTGACCACAGCGTTGACCGGCGTTGACCAAGACTTTGACCAAGCTGAAGCCGGTAAAATCTTGCCAAGCCTTCAGCCTACCCCTCGCCCTATGGATGTGCACACACCCTGTGGTACTTGCTGAGTCCAGTCAGTCTGTCTCTTCTTTCTGCATTGAGTCTCTTCTGTCCTAGGTGATAGTACTCTGTGGATGAAGGATGGGGCCTTGTTGACCAAACCCACACGGACGACTCGACTGTCCCGGAGGACACGAACCCTCCCAAGGACCGGTACGGACCGGCGGGCTGCTCGGTGTGGCACGGTAGGCCCAAAATCCGAGTTGTGGGCTGCACAATAGGCCGTCTAAGTGTTGAGAGACCTGCTGATCGCGTCGTCCTGTCTGCGACGTTAAATAATTCCTAAGGAGTTACGGGGGATCTCCTTAAATGCCTCCTGATCAGCAACAGGTCTAGTAGTGACAACCATAGTGTAGGTCTAGGCTAGAGATCCTAGTTGGCACGATCCCTGTCAAGATTCTGTGAGTCCTTAGATCGAGTCAGTACGTTTGTCTGTCAGGGGTTAGAATCTACGTGGTGAGGTTTGGAACCACTAATCCGGTTGTACACTTATCACCATGGTTGACATCCGGAGTGGGTTGAGTACTAGCCCCTATACCAAGGAGCAACAAGAAAAGATGGCCGCCTTAGTGAGAGAGAACAAAGAGAGGAAAGAGCTCCTGAAGCAAGAGAAGCTAAAGGCTATCACAGAGGAGCAGGCGGCGAAGATGAGGAAACTGGAGAAGGAGATAAAGAAAGTCCAGCAGGAGGAGGAAGATAGGAGAAAGGCTGCCGAAGAGGAAGCAACAGCAGAAGAAGCAAAAGAGAGGATGTGTATCGAGAGTAGAGAAGGGAGTAGTGGCACGAAAAAGGATGAAGACGCGGAGATGGAGAGAAAGATAAGCGAGTGGGTTGCTAATTTATCATTGGGGGAAGATGAGGAGGCAGAGTCTTATGTGCCTCAGGATGAGAGAGAGGCGTTAGCCGGAGAGCTAATGCCAATGGAGGACCCCATGGAACGGCGAGAAAGAGAAGAGGAGCAAAAGTTGGAATGGAAATTGAGAATGAAGAGGGAGAAGAAGAGAAGAAGGGAGGAAGTCACTAGGCTGACCGCAGAAGTGGCAAAGGTGAAGGACTGTAGGCAAGAAGTGGAGGCCCAGGCAGACGACAAGGCCAGATGGGATAAGGTGTTGGGGTACCTGGAGGTGCTGAGCGCAGCGTGGATGGAGGAGCGCCAAGCCAGTTGGGGTCAAGAGGTAGCCTTGAGTGCCATGCGGTCGGGGTTTAGGGACTTTGCGCGCGATATGGTTACCCACGTCGGGGGAGAAGTGAGGAAGTTGAGAGACAACGTGGGAAAGTTCTGCGAAGGTGCCATTGAAGGTGCCAAAGCGATAGCCGCTGTAGAGGGCGAGGCCAGACCCCGTAAAGAGCCTGTAAAGCTCAAGTTCCCAGATGCATACGGGGGAAAGGAGGAGGAGAACTTTGACAACCGGGAGGCCAGTGCCAACAGTTATGTGTACTTACAGCATATCCTGACAGAGGAGCAAGTCCTCGTAGCTCTCCAGGCCCTCAAAGATGAAGCGGCTAGTTTTGCCAGGTCCCTTGCGCGCGCAGCCGGTTGTGAAAACAACATGGTTGCATACACGCACTGACCCGGCCCATGTTATCAAATTGTGTCCTAAGTATAGACAGGCCCGTTGGGCTGCCCGGCAGTCAAAAGGCAGCCGCCAGTAGGGGTCGCAACTGCCCCTACTTCAAGGCCATGTGGGGAAGCGAGCGCGCGCGAACAGGAAACCCCCAAACCACATGAGCCTATGGCAGAGGTTGCAGGCCCGTGCCTAGCTAGCTGTCCAGAAACTGCTTGTGTTAGCGTCTCTCTAGGCACGTCCCTCACAGGCGTGGCAGATGAGCTGAAGGAGAGAATGCCAGCCTGGGCCAAAATGAAGAAGGAGAGTAAGGGACAACTAATCTTAGTAGACGTAGAGGTGTTTAGAAGTAGAGTAGGGGCCCTTATAGATTCAGGGGCCACCCGTGGTTATATTAGTCGCAGGGCGCTGAAGAAGTTGAGGCTAGGACTAAAAGTCCAGAAGTTAGCACACCCCATTGTCAGTGTTCTCGCAGACGACCGCACGATACGTGCTGAGGACTACATAGAGGGAGTCCAGGCGTACTTCCGCCTAGAGAAGGATGGGAAGGTGGAGAAAGTTCTCCATTCCCTGACTCTCCTCGTACAGGATGACCTTCCTTTTGATGTAGTGTTAGGAATGGATTGGGGAGAGGCAGCAGGGGCCACACTCCACTTGAGAGAGCACGAGTGTAGGCTCCCTAGTCCGTCAGGCAAAGTCAAGATTGCCCGCCTGTTTCATGTGTCAGGTGAGACAACACCTTGGCACATTGTTGTCTCAGTGCTCCCGCGTTCGCGCGACTAGTGAAAAAGGAGCAATTGGAGGACCAGGTCTTTGTAGTTTATGTCAAAGTTGTCACTGAGGCTAAGGAAGAGGTAAGTTCCACAGATCCAACCATTGCCAAGCTGCTGGAGGAATTCAAAGATTTGACTGAGTCGCCGATAGGAGTAGTGTCGCGACCCATCCAACACAGGATAGAGATAAGAGCCTGGCAGTAGAACTCCTAAGGGAGCAGTCTACAGGCTGTCCCCTAGAGAGTTAGAGGAGTTACGCAAGCAGTTAGACGAACTCCTCGGGAAAGGTTGGATCAGGCCCAGTTCGTCTCCTTTTGGAGCACCTGTTCTGTTTGTCCCCAAGAAGGAAGGAGAACTTCGTATGTGTATAGACTGCAGGGGTTTGAATGCGATTACTATACAGAATGCTGAGCCACTGCCCAGGATAGACGATCTCTAAAATCGGGTGCAGGGTTGCAAGTATTTCTCTAAGATAGACTTGAAGTCCGGATACCATCAGATAGAGGTCCACCTTGATGACCAGTATAAGACCGCGTTCCGGACTCGATATGGGCACTATGAGTTCATCGTGATGCCCTTTGGACTAGCGTTGTATGAATGATTTGTTTAGACCCTGGGTAGACAAGTTTGTAGTAGTTTATTAACTTTATTTAGATGACATCTTAGATTTCAGCAAGAACCTCCAAGAGCATCAGGGTCATCTCAGGCACGTCTTGGAGAAGCTCAGAGAGGCTAACTTCAAGATCAACGCGAAGAAGTGCGAGTGGGCCAAGACGCAAGTCCTGTACTTGGGCCACGTACTAGACGGAGATGGTATTAAGCCAGAGGACCGTAAGATAGCGGCGATTAGAGATTGGCTGACGCCCCGCACATTGACAAAGTTGCGGTCGTTCTTAGGCCTAGCTAATTACTATAGGAAGTTCGTGAGGAACTTCTCTACTATCGTCGCTCCCTTGCGCAGGCTGCTAAAGAAAAGGGCAATCTGGCAATGGGACAAAGACTGTACGTCTGCGCTAAAGAAGCTAAAGCGCGCATTGATAGAGTACCCTGTCCTCAAAGTAGCAAATCCGTCTTTGCCATTTGTCGTCACCGCGGACGCAAGTCAGTATGGAATAGGCGTCGTGTTGCAACAAGACGACGACAATAGCTATAGACCCGTAGAGATCATGTCAGCGAGGATGCCCTCAGAGAAGGTTGTTACCTCGACATACCATAGAGAACTCTACGCTCTCAGGCAGGCTCTAGAGCACTCGAAGCATTAACTCGAAGTGTATTTTGACCATGAGACACTTAGATGGTTAAAGATCCAGGCCAAGATGACACCTAAGCTAACTAGGTGGGCCGCTGAGATAGACCAGTACGACTTTGAGCTCAAGCCAGTGAAGGGCAAGTACAACGTAGTTGCGGACGCTCTGAGTAGGAGATCAGACTACTTTGGAGCCATAGTACACTATCTGGATATAGGGAGAGACATGCAAGAGAAAGTGAGGCAAGCGTATGCGCAGGACCCTATCTATAGTGACCTCCTCAAGAGAGTTAAGGAGGCCCCAAAGACCGAACCACAGTACCGCACTACAGAAGGATTGCTGTTTGAGAAGACAAATGTATTCGACCGCCTATGCGTTCCCAATAGTGAGGAAATCCGCAGTCTGATCCTAGGGGAATGCCATGACACAGAGGGACACTTCGGTTGGCAAAAGACATTAGCCAATCTGATGCGTGCGTACACCTGGCCAGCGATGAAGAATGACTGCATAGAGTATGTTCGCAGTTGTGAAGTGTGCCAGAGGAATAAGACTACTAGGCGCGCCCCTAGGTCTTCTCAGACCCTTGCCTATTCGGATCAGCCGGGAGACTCCGTGTCCATAGACTTCATGGACACCCAAGTCAAGAGTAGACATGGTAAGAGCCAAGTCATGGTCGTAGTTGACCGTTTTAGCAAATATGCAGTTTTCGTTCCTTTGCCTGCAGAGGCATGTACAGAGTTAGTTATCCGAAAGTTCTTTGATTTTTGGGTTAGTGAGAATGGAATCCCCTTGTCAATAGTTAGCGATAGATATAGTCGCTTCACCAGCCAGAACTGGCAAGAACTCATGGGGGGTTACGGATCTAAGTTGTTAATGTCATCTGGCAGCCATCCAGAGACCAATGGTCAAACAAAACAGATGAACAAGATCCTACAGCAAGTTCTGCGCATGTACATTAGACCTGACCAGATCAACTAGGATGAGATGTTGCCTAAGGTAGCTAGTGCATACAATAATAGCGTGCATCTATCCACCTGTCACACTCCCCATGAGCTACACAAGTCCTTTAGGCCACGCAGACCATTCGAAGGACTGAACCGGGATCAGATTCACAGGCTACCACCCGGTACTAGGGAGTTCCCGTTACAGCACGAGAAAGAGTTAGCAACTGTTGTTGAAAACCTCGGGAAGGCCCAACACAAAATGATAGAACATGCCAATAAGCACCGTCGCCCATCGCAGTTTCAGGTAGGCGACTTAGTCTGGGTCAAGTCTAAAGAGTTCGCACCTGAGGAACACATCTCGCAGAAGTTACTGCCTGCATACAAAGGACCGTGGCCGGTTCTAGAAGTCAAGGGCGGAGAGGATGGACCGTCCTACACTATAGAGATCCCAGCACACCTCCACACATACCCTGTGTTCCATGCTTCAAAGCTGTTGCCGTGTGTCACAAGGCAACAGTTCCCTTCAAGAAGATCCATGATCCCCCCGGATATGTATGGAAGTTATGACATTGACGACATTGTAGATGAGGATGTGTTCAGAACAAGAGGTAGAGGTCGTCCCCAGAAACAGTATAAGGTTCGGTTGCTTATCAGGAACCGGAAGACGACTGCTGGTTTACAAGGACAGCACTTCTAGAAACAGCTCCCGACATAGTCAGAGCTTATGAGCGTGATAAGAAGGGTAAAGGTCCTGCCTTGGACTGAAATATTCTCGGAGGACCTCGAATTTAGGACGACAGGAGTGAAACGGTTTTCACCTCTTAGCAGTGCAGACGCAGATCCCAAGGTTTGATCCCTAAACCTTGCCCTACCTGTGTACAGTACCTGTGTAGACCCCGAGAGTTGAACCTGCGGCCTGTGTATTTGTAACAGTTAGTAGTCTGTTGTAGGGTCCCATAGGAAGCAGGGGTTCGATCTGTAGATATATAGAGTAGGAGTCTTAACGAGTTCCAGAAGCCTAGTTGTAGTCCTTCTAGAAGCTCAACAAGTGGGCAAGTGGTGATCCAAGTGGTGAACTAAACTGCAGTGCAATTGCAGTACGACGACGGTGGGTTAGCAGTGAGTCCACAGTCAGTCAGCGGTAAGGTCCAGTCAGTCCCAGTCCGGTCCAGCAAGTACCACGAGGGACTGTGAACACCATGGGCCGATGGAAAGGGAGAGGCCATCGAGTTTCAAAAGTATAAATCAAGAGGCAGCGCCCAGCCATTCATTCATTCCTGCGGGAGCCATGCGGAAGTGCTGCCACAACGACTTGTGCATGGAGGTTTGCAGAGAGCCCAGAGCTGAAGTGGGCGAGAGAGAGAAGGAGCGTAGTATAGCAACAGGGTAGAGGCAGCCATAGCTGCCATAACTGTAGTTCAGTTGAAGTGTGTGTGTGTATGCGCGAGTGTTCAGAGTAACGAGTGTGGGATATCCAGGGTGATCTGATGTATGTGAACAGTGAGTTGTTTAGGGGCAGAGTTGCCATAGCCAGTTGAAAGTGAACTCGTATCTGGATGCCATTTCTCTGAGTTTTGAGTGGGCGCATGTCGCCAGTTTGTTGCGCTACTGTTTACATGCATGAAAAGTGTGAATGAGAACGAGTCTGATTGCAACGTGTGCGTGTGTGTGTGTGTTGTGTGTGTCGTGTGGGAGAGTACTGGCCATAGACACTGTTGTTACTTGACAGGGGTGGGGACGGTAGATGGGAGGCGCAGCTACTGGAAAAATGCTTGGTCTTTGCGTTAGCCAGCCCCTCCACCGGCGGCCCCACCCGTCTCCCTGACCACCGCCGATTAGGGTGGGGGGGCAACATGCATCCCCTTGATTACGAGACGTAGATTTGTTTGCAGAGGTCCCCTGTATAGGCTTAGGAGTAGTGCTAGGTAGTTAGTTAAAGGTGAAATTGAGAGAAGAATACAGCTTAGTTAAAAAAAAAAAAAAAAGTATGTCTGACAACACTCTTTGCCCCGGTGAGGAGAAAGGCCTCCCAGTTATCGAAATCTTCCCACTTCTTTCCACTGAAGAGTTCGGGGAAACGCACCTTGACTTTCTCACAGCGTGTGCAGAATTCTTTTGTCTAACTGATTGCCAAGTGGACCTGGTCCACCAGGTACTTTACCATATCACGCGCAAAATCATTAAAACCAACATGTATCGCATCGGATGTACTGTGTCTCTACCAACATGTTCGAGGTATTTTACCATATCACGATGTGCAATTAGTAAAGATTCCACACTCTGGGTCAGGGTATCGAGTTTAATGGCTACCTCCGTCTCTTCCCTGATCTTCCCCATCTTAGTCTCTACCGCCTTCAGATCTTTTTCTGCCCTTTTTGCCGCTTCCAGACGCCTAACTCTTTCTTGAGATAGGCACCACTTCCATGCCCTCTGCTGCTCCTCTTCTTTCGCCTTTCTCCACACCGCGTCCCTTTCTGCTTCTAACTTTCTCCTCGCCGCCTCTCTCTCTACTCGGAGTATGGCCAACTCGGCCTCCCTATCTTCCCCCAGCTCCAAATGTGCGGTCCACTCTTGTGTGGTCTTTCCAATCTCCTCCTCCTTTCTTGTACTGACTCCACCTCTTCTTCTTTCCAACGGTACTTCTTCTTCCACCTACTTTTTTTCTTCTTCTTTCTCCACCTCCGCTTGTATGGCTGCCATCTTCTCCTCCTGTTCCTTTGTCCAGTTCTTCAACTCCTCGTCCATCTGCATCTTCTTTGCCTCTTGCTCCTCCAGCAGGGCCAGCATCTTGGCCTACTTGATCAACTCTCTATTCTCCATTCTCTCCTTCCTCTCTTGCAGAATAGCGGCAGCTCTCTCCTCTTGCTCCTTGCTCTAGGGGGTGGTGCTAGTTGCAGACCTGAGGTCCACCACGATCATGGCGCACAATCAACAACAATTCCGCGCCTCAACACGTAAACCATACAGGATAACTTGTTTCTAGGGGGCTTGTACTCCCTAATCGGGTTGGACTCACAACTCTACAGTCACATCCACAGAGTCCTATGGACGTGGACAAAAAAGAAGGGAAGATATGACTGACTGACCCTAACAGACTTCACGTCAGCACGTACCAAGGTGAAGGTGCACATCCACGGGGTAAGGGGATAGGCCAAGGCTTGGAAGGATGGTACTGGTAATCTTCTCGCTCCAACTAGGTCGACGCTCCGGTCAACAGTCTTGGTCAACTCGCCGGTCAACGTCATGGTCAACTTCGGTCAATGCCTGGTCAACGCTCTTGGTCAACCCTTGGTCAACACCCGGTCAACGTTGGTCAACTCTCGATCAACGTTGGTCAACTCTTGGTCAACGTTAGTCAACTCCCCTACTCAACCTTCCAACCTTTCGTCAAAGCCTTCGTCTTCTTCACCTCGACTATGGCTGACTTAATCTCCCTTCTTCGTCACTTCTTCTTCCTTTTCTCTGCGTCTATCTCTTTCTTCTTGCTCGTAGTCTCCTTCCCCGAGCTTGGCAGCTATGGCTGCCGTCCCCTTCTCTCTCTCTCTCTCTCTCTCTCTCTCTCTCTCTCTCTCTCTCTCTCTCTCTCTCTCT